ATTTTTTTTTATTTGTTTGCACTATTAAAACGGATGGAAACCATTCAATTGAAAGGTGTAGTTTTCTTAGACTCCACTTTCAGTTTTACCCCGACCAGAATGACAACGGATCAGTTTATCTAATAAATCCAAAGATCCTCGTGTGGTACTTCCAAGTGTTCAGTTTGCCTTCGCAAGGGCTGTAACGAAATTATGTGCCCCTATTGGGATAGGATCTCGCCTGGATTGACTATTGTTGGTGAGGGTTTGACAAACTCTCCAACCTCTAGTCTTTAGGTTTCTAGTCTTTTGAGTATGACAAAAATTGTTGTTTTTTCTTTTTTGCATATGGGAGAATTACCATTTAATTAGTTTCATATCCCTAATTTTGTTTGTGTACTTTCCTATAAAGATACGTCATGCCAATTGTTTTAATTAGTTCCATCTGGGTGTGGGTTAAGGTGGTTGGTGGTTATGCGGATCTCATCATGGATATGTCTGAAAAACTTTACAAGTAATTCTTTTCCTCATTACTTTACATTCGTTTGTTTTTGCATATTTGTGAAGCAGTCGTATATATTAGTGTCGTTTGGGGTTTTTGATGGTTCAATTCAAGTTTACATCAATGTGATCATGCAGTCGTGTGTATATAGTTAGTTACTAAACCCTATTGTTGAATGGAAAAGGATCATTGTCGGATTCTTTTCATGGGGATCCTGTGATCGTGATTGTTTATCGTATATCGTACGGTCAGTTTTTGTTAGGTACTATTTATATTTAATTTTAAATTTCAATTTATTTCTGATCGCATGATGCACGATGAACGGTCACGATCACGGAATCCCCAAAAAAAGGATCCGTCAAGAATCCTTTTTTTTGTTGAATTTCCTTATTGTGTACTTTTTTATAAAGATATGTCAGGTCAGTTGAAACCCCTCAACCGAAGAGGTCATCTTGTAAAGGGAAAACGGGATACTCAACAACTGTCATACAAGCTAAGAAAAATGAGAATGACGCAGTAGTTGGTGGACGGGGGAAAGTTAGTGAAGTCATGCACAATGTTGAATCTTTTAATTACGGGATAAAGGGATTGCAAAATGTGGTGTTTTGCAAAAGGACTATTTACAAGTAAGCTTGACAAGAGGAGAGATTTTTCAATTTACCTGAAACACATGTCATTATACAAATTGTGATATATTTGCTTAAAAAAAGAGAACAACTTAATAAAATAAAACATCCTACCACTTATATAATAACATGTGGTGTACCATTCGTGTTCCGATCATAATGAAATTTCTTTCAAAGAAGAGTGATATTTTCTGACATTAAAAAACCTGAGCTCAAGATTGTTTGGCTTCTTGAAGAGGTGGAGGTGGAATAAGTTTTTTTTGTTTTTGTTTTTTTGAAGAAAAGAGTGGAATAAGTTGGATGCACTTAAATTTATGAATTATATAATATGCTATTGACAGCATATATGGTTCTGATGGGTTGTTTATTTAAATTTGGACAAATTGCCTTAATGTTGTACTAGTAGGTGATGTTGCATCTGGGCTCACGTGCCTGGACCAGCACGAGCTGGAGTGCCTGGGGCTCCATGGCTTGTTGTGGACAGAAGGGCTGCAGTGGCTGCCCGAGCTGGGCCGCCCGGATTCATCTCCTGGATGGGCCTGCTCGCCTGGGTGTTTTACTAGTAGAGATGTGCGGGGGTGGGGGCAGTATGGTCAAGTCACATGAAAAAGTTCTTAGAAAGAAACAGAAGATAAGACCCAGGAAGAAACCGAACGGAGGGTTTTGGTTGAGGGACACAGAAGAAGAGGAAGAGGAAGAGGAATTTCAGTAAGAGGGAGTGAGGGAGGGAGGGAGGGGGAGAGTGTCTCGACCCGAAACCAAGCGACCGGAAAGAATCGCAGCTTTCAGAAAGCTATGGAGTCAGAGGCAGATCACACACACACTGAAATTGACCAGATTGAAGAACACTGTGCGCGCCAGCTGCTTTGCTTGACGGAACAGTGTACCGGACAAGGGCCGCGGTACACCCACATTGAGAAAAACGAGTTCTTGCATAGAAGGTAAGTTACAATCACTGTCTCTCTGTTAGTTTTTAGCTTCGGCATGAGTTTTGTGCAATTGGGTTTGTGGAAATCGAACTGCATTGGTAGATGACTTGCCAATTTGTCTTCTGGGTTTCTCAATTTGTTGTCTTTGCCTGTAATGTGGGCTCTGTTAAGTGTTTTAATCGCCGGATGCAGTTGGGAGGATTGATGGTCTGTTTCATTTTTTTTTGAATCTACACTGTGAGGTTTAGGGTTTAGGGTTTAAGATATATGGTATGCAATTATTTGCTCACTTGAAAGTAATATCAGCCTGAGAGAACCAATGAGACAGAACACTGTTTAGTTGCAACTTTTATGTGCTAATCGGTTCAAGGAAAGGTTTTTGTAGTTGGTTATCGTTGGTTATTTATTTGTATTAGCAGTTGACAGTTTGAAATTATATAACAAGGTTTCTTTCTCCCTCTATTTATTTATTTGCAGACACAAGATACAAACGGAGGAGGATATTGCTATATGTGAATGCAAGTATGATGAAAATGATCCTGAAAGTGCATGTGGAGAGAGGTGCTTGAATGTACTAACCAACACGGAATGCACTCCTGCGCATTGCCCTTGTGGTGTCTATTGCAAGAATCAGGTAAATATTTTTTTTTTCCTCTGGTGTTGTGTTTGTGTGTGTGTGTCTTCTCTCCCACCTCTTGCTCGTGGGTTTGTGAATATGGATCTGTTTGCTTGCATATTATTTCTTCATATTTGTCTTTTTCTGTTTATATGTAAGCCTTCGTGGCATCGCCATGTATAATTCAGGACTTTGTTTATTGTGATTGTAGAAGATTATAATACTTAACCAATTTGTATTTTATTTATTTTATTTCCAATTGTCTTTTGTATTTGCCAATTCATATTATCCTCTTGTAATGTTTATCAGCATATTGGTTTAGTATTGATCTTAACTGATTTTTCATCTATCAAAAGTTTCAATTCTTCACAGAAAGAATAAGATGTTATTCACACTCACCCCAACGCATGCACACTCCACCTGCCTCATACTAATGATTATATGCTCACAGACATAAGCGTGTACATGAAAGTTGTCTATGGCTTGAAAATTGTGACTTAACTGTTTTTGTATGGCAATGGGGGCTTGTAATTTTTTATGGTTCAGAACGGTATAGTTTGGCATGTAGATGGAAATTCTGAACAATAGATATATTTATGGGTTCTGCAGTTCAGAATTTATGGATGTGCTTTTAGATTTTGTTTTTGGTCAGTAATGAGATTTACAACATTAGGTTTGTCCAAGCGCAATCCAAGTTATAGAAGGTATACCTTCGTCCTATTATTGGGAAACCACTCTGTTGACTTAGCATTTTTGGGATATTCGTTAAAGTTGACAAACCATTTTAGGGTTATTCCTTTAAGTTTAGTTTTTCTTGGTTGGGGACTGGGGGAGTATGAAATTATGATTAGTTTGCTTGTGCGGTTATTTTGGTTAATCTCCTTTGTTTGATGGACAAGTTTTCATTATTTGTTGCCTTTGTTTCGTAAAACTTTTATTATTTAAGAAAGAGTAAATATGGTGGTGAGACCACGGTTACCAATGGAGTTGGAGTTTGTTACCAAATACAAGGAAAGTTTATATTTGATAGCAACATCATCCTATTTGTAACCACAAAATTTAGTTAAAGTTGGGTGAGGAGAAATAGATGAGGTTGGCAATGGCACCACTATTCAATCTTTGTCTTTCATAGTTGCATCGGTAATTCTCTATTTTTTGTAACATTCTTTATGCTGTTTTTTAATTTTCTAATAAATTATCTGGAACACCTTTTCCTTTTTCGTGAAAATATTGGGATAATGATGTACTTAGCGTGAGTTTAAGATAATTTGAATATTCAATTCCTTGTTCAAATACTATGAAATTTCTATTATTCATTTATGATACCTTGTTTGTTTACTGTCAACAGAGATTTCAGAAATTGGAATATGCCAAGACAAAGTTGTTTAAAACAGAAGGTCGTGGTTGGGGTCTTTTAGCTAATGAGAATATAAAGGTAATAGCCTACTAGTTTTATCTTGATTTGTTACAACTGTAAAGTGACTCCTCTTTACCTGGGTTCTTTGCCATTCAATTATTTAGTTGAGTCAATTATATACACATTACTGGGTTTTAGGCAAGTTTCTGGTAGCTTTTTTTTTTTTTCTTTTTGAAACATTTGAACTGTATAGTGCATCTTGGTATGTTATTTATCTTTGGAACTTTTGTTTTTACTCAACTGAGAACCTTGAAGTTTTATAAGTCTATGAGCTATTTATAGTTTCTTTATCTTTTGAGTGAATCTGTAATTTCTTGTAAGCTATTTGATTTGCTTTACACAATGCAGGCAGGACAATTTATTATTGAGTACTCTGGGGAAGTGATATCATGGAAAGAAGCAAAGCAAAGATCTCACGCTTATGAAACTCAAGGTGATTTAATAGGCTTACCAAATATATGTTTGTATTACTTTATTTGAGGCTGAATTCAATTTCTGCATTGATGTAGGTCTCCGAGATGCATTTATTATTTCTCTCAATGCCTCTGAATCTATTGATGCAACTGAAAAGGGAAGCGTTGCTCGTTTTATAAATCATTCATGGTGAGCCTTATCTCGCAAATCTTTTTGGGAAAATTTTGTATATCTTTAGAACAACTAGCTGTTATTTTATTTACTTGCCCAAGTTGAGATTGAGTTATTACACCTTAACGTTTTCAGCCAACCAAATTGTGAGACAAGAAAGTGGAACGTGTTGGGGGAAATTAGGGTTGGAATATTTGCAAAACAAGATATATTGGTAGGAACTGAGCTGGCATATGACTACAATTTTGAATGGTATGGGGGAGCTAAGGTTCGCTGCCTCTGTGGTGCTTCAAGCTGTTCAGGATTTCTTGGGGCAAAGTCTCGTGGTTTTCAGGTAATTTATTGATTGAACATTCTGGATACAAGTCTTCATTTTAGATATTAAAGATGAAAAAGAAGTCTTTTCGAGGGTGTGTTATAGCCTATAAGTGGCTGTTATCTCCATAGCTGTACATTATCTATTTTCTCATTGTAAAATTATCTGGATACTGCCGTTGAACTAGAAAATTAAAATCTTGCCTGTGATGCATAATGCAAGTTCTGCAATCTTTCTGGTTACATTTTTATTTTTTTGATCTTTTCAGTTTCTTTTTCTCTGGGCATGGTCCCATTGTTTGCTTTGAAATTCATTGCCTAACCTCTCTAATGCTATAAACTTTCCAGGATCATAATTACATATTTTATGCTTATAAAATGGTTTTAGGGGTTTGCAGTTTCTATCGGTTTGCAATTGTCCTACAAACTTTTATGGGGGTATATGTCTGACGCTTAGTTTGGAGGCATTGTTTCAAATAGCGTAAAGAAAGAAAAGCTTAGGCATTCCTCACAGAGACAACCCGAAAGTGTCTTTAGGCATGCAAGTGTTCTGTGAAATTTCAAAAAAGTGTGGTGTAAACCTTTTCTTTGAGTTGGTATGCTTTAGCAAGCTCACACTTTATTTAAGAAAAGGGAATTCTTTTGGTATGGGCTTTATGTTATTTTATTTTTTGACACCCTAGTAAATAGAACCCCAAGTCTCTATCATTCAAACCCTGCACAGCGTTACCACAACCAATTGACTCCTTCAGAAGCATGCAACGAAAAACTTGAATGGTTACTATATGGCAGCATCTCCATCATCAGTTGGGAGTTGAACAGTTGGTAACTTCCAATTTTTGTTCTTTTAATGGCTTTTATTCTTGCAAAGAGGGTTTTATAGAGTTCACGATATTTTAATTAGGCTCTTAATTGAGAAAATTAGTAAACATTGAGGTGTTTGGCAGATAGAAATCTCTGGTTTTATCTCCTTTATTCCCTCAGAAAGGCTACTAACGACCTGAAAAATAAATATTTACGGTGTCTCATGGACCAGTTTATTGGGTTTCTTTAATGATTTTGGCTTTGCCAAATTTGGGACCAAATTGGGTTGTTTTTGACATGTTGAAATATAGGGAAATTTTGTGGTTATAATGTTTTAGGCTTGACCAGCGCACTCTAAGCTTTAATAACTCTTCTTAATGACCATTATAACCTTTGAAAAATGACTTAAAACAACTTAATTCACATCTAAAATGTTTTCCAATTACTCCACCATAGCTCACTCAGGCTTATACCCACCCTACCATCCAATACTAACCATAACCCCATCACAATCTTCAAAATCAGCCCTTCATCACTCCATAAACCCCAGTCACATAATACCACCCATATTGAGTTTCTTGGTCAATGGAGCATCAAATCATCATGTATGACAAGTCAGTGAGAATGGAAAGGTATGTTATTTGCCAAATTAGTTGAGCTTGTTTTGTTCTGGTGGTTACTAAAACTGGGCTCACGTTTTGTTTGGTTACTCAGAGCTGAGCACCAAATGTACTGTGCAGTTATATGTGGCCGAACAACCATTCATTAAGTGTAGCCAGATATTGCTGCAGAGGACATTTGGCGTGTGACCAGAAATGGCTGCACACCAACAAGAAAGTGGAGCCAGTATAGCCACACAATTCTTTCTATGTGCTGTATTCTCTAACAGAACACTGACCAAATTCTATATCTAAACTTGTTTTCTCTAATGCAGGGCGAAACTTCTTCTCGAGGTAGTGGGGTTGGCTCAGAATGTGCAACGGGCTACACAAGTGAATTTAGGAGTAATGAGGTTACCAACTTTATCTTTAAATTGATAATGGAATTTATTATGAGATAGCTTCATTAGCTTTGGGTTTGGTGGAAGTGCTTCCAATAGTGACTATGGCTTCCTCTTGTAACATATTCTTTGTTCAAACTTGTTTTGAGAATGCAGGACAACAATTCTGCTCGAGATAGTGGGGTTATCTCAGACTGTGTAATGGATTTCACAAGTGAATTTACTACTTATGCGGTAACCGACTTCGTCTTTAAAATGCTTTTGTCCAATAAGAGCCACATGCATATTTTGGGTACTTACATGCTAGTTTTATTTTGTTTTGTAGATATTTAAGACTAGAGAGTCCTTGATGCAGTGGGCTCGTCGGACGGGCAAGCGAAATGGATTTGTTATTGTGACATTACGATCTGATATGGATTGTAAGAGTACAAAACCAAGAGTTACATTAGGTTGTGAGAGGGGTGGAAGATTTAAGGAGAAGAAAACTAGGGCTGCCAAAAAAAGACGTGGGACAGGCACAAAGAAGTGTGGGTGTCCTTTCACATTGAAAGGGGAGAAGTCAGCGAATGGGGACGGATGGATGCTAAAGGTTGTATGTGGAGTGCATAACCATGCATCCACTGAGTATCCTGATGGGCGTTCATATGCAGGGAGGTTATCGGAGCAGGAGGCTTCACTCTTGATAGACTTGTCAAAGAATTTAGTACGACCCAAAGAAATCCTGAGCACATTGAAGCAAAGGGATGAACTCAATGCTACAACCATAAGGACGATCTATAATGCACGCCAAAGGCAAAGAGTTAAAGAGAAGGCGGGAAGGTCTCAAATGCAACAACTGTTATGTAAGTTGAATGAGCATGACTATGTCGAGTGGCATAGGAGGTGCCCTATGTCAGATAGTGTGCAGGACTTGTTTTGGGCGCATCCTGTGAGTTTGGAGTTGTTACGTGCATTTCCAACCATTTTGATGATAGATTGCACGTACAAGACCAATAGGTATTATTATCCCCTACTAGAGGTTGTAGGCGTCGCATCCACTGATATTACATTCTCAATTGCATTTGTCTTTTTGAATTCTGAAAAAGAAGACAACTACATATGGGCATTAAGTAAATTGCGTGGTGTCATGGTGGAGTGTCCCATGCCAAATGTAATTGTCACAGACATGGATTTGCAATTGATGAGAGCCATTGAGGTAGTATTCCCTACCGCTAAAAATCTTTTATGTAAATGGCATATTAATAAGCATGTGTTGGCCAAATGCAAAAACTTGTTTGAGTCCAAGGAAAGGTGTGATAGATTTATTATGAAGTGGAATGTACTGGTGACCTCTCCTACAGAAAATGATTACATACGGGAGCTGGCAGTGTTACAGAGAGAATTTAGTATGTACACTGAGGTCATGGAATATGTTACAAACACATGGTTGAATCCTTTCAAGGACAGATTTGTGTCGGCTTGGACGGACATGATCATGCATTTTGGTAATGTAACATCAAACAGGTAATTTCATGAAGTTATATTACTCATTCAATGTTACATCATTGGTTTACTATGAAGTTTGTAACTTTGTGTTAACATGTTTGCAATTTTTTATGTTTTAATAGGGCCAAGGGTGCACATACCAAGCTTAAGAGGGAACTTGGTATGAGCCTGGGAAATTTTGAGGGTTCTTTTGAGAGTATACACTCTCTTATTGAGTTACAGCACACTGACATAAAGATATCTTTTGACAAGTGTTTGATGGTCACACAACAAAGCTTCAAGTCTTCAGAATTCAAATATCTGAGAGGAGTTGTATCTATGTTTGCATTGGAGAAGGTGTTATCTCAGTCCAAACTAGCCACCTCAATTGGTGTTGATGGTTCAGGATGTGGTTGTGTCATACCCCGAACCCATGGTCTACCTTGTGCCCATCAGATTGTGAAATACAAGAGGGAGTGTCAGCCAATTCCTCTTGAGTCTCTTGACCCCCATTGGACGAAACTTGATATACTACCTCCTAGTTCTGCTCAGGATTCTATGGATGTGAATGAGTTTCCTGAGTTGGAGTTGCTTCAACAATACTTTCTGGAGGCAAATGCAGAAAATAGGTTGATGCTCAGGAAAAGAGTGAGAGAACTTGTAGCACCCTATACAACTAATCTTGTTGAACCAGGAGTTAAGTCCAGATTACGAGGTCAACTGAGGGAGAAAATTGATATGTCCACTCAACAAGATCCATATGCATTTGATTTGAGATCTGCATCTGTGGATAGTCACTCACCTAGCCCAATGGATGGTCAGCAAAATTTTACACACAAGCAAATGGAGCAAACCAAGAAGAAGGTAATAAAGATACCAGTTACTAAATCGAATATAATACAGTTACCCATTTATACATAAGGTTTCATATTCATGCAGGTGTACCGGACGCTGTCAATGAAAGGTATTTCGTATATTGATGCATTCCCAATTGGATTGAGGCCCTTCATTCAGCAAGTCAAGGATGTATGTCAGGATGGTCACTGCGGGTTTAGGGCAGTTGCTGATTTAGTGGGAATGGGTGAGAATGGATACTTGCAAGTGCGTAATGACTTGCTTACTGAGTTGTCTTCATTTTCTGCACATTATGGCGAGTTGTATGGCAGCACAGACAGGGTTCGTGAGTTAGCACAGATACTATCATTCTTTGATGAAGGTAGAGCACCATTTGATAGATGGATGATGATGCCTGACATGGGTCATCTTATAGCGTCATGCTATAAGGTCGTGCTTTTCCACTTATCATCTACTCAGTGCCTAACCTTCTTACCACTTCGGTCGGCACCAGTTCCTTTGCCAAGGCGTCGACAGATTGCTATTGGTTTTATGAATGATTGTCATTGCGTGGAGGTATGATACCCATAATAATGGACTGTTCTATATCTTTTGTAGAAAGACAATTTAGATTAATGTTACATATGTTTCTTGTAGGTGTTCTTAAGGCCAGGGCATCCTGTGCCTCCCATTACGTCTGATTGGATCAGATATCATACACCAGCTGCACAAGGATGGGACACTGTGTATACTAGTTGTATTTTACGCTTCAAATCTCTTGTCAGCTCTGATCAAATCTGACTCGGTCAGGTGCAAGTCACAAATCCAAACTGTCTGAAAAATATGCTTAGAATGGTCAGGTTTGATCACGTATATGCACAAATGTGCTCTGAAAGGAGATACCGTCTATATGCACAAATGTGCCCTGAAGGAGAGGCCATGAAGTGGATCTTGTTAGGAAAGCTGCAAATCCCACCATGAGGATCCAAACCCTACACAAATAATGGAAACAGATATTTCCAGTGATATAGACTTAGTGGTAAAGTGTTAAACCTTATAGTATGGACAGGGCATCCTATATGTCGCCTGTTACGAAAGCTACCAGCTTCTCTTGTATCCTACAGATCATTCATAGTGGCAGCATTTGACAATTGTGGTATCCAATGATAAACAAACGGTTGGCCTGAGATATACCATGTATCCCTCCATTGCTCCAATACCATACCTTGTTAGGTGCCCCAAATGTAATGTGTAGGGGAGGGCCACAAGTCCCCATACATACCATTCATACCATCTCATGTTACCAAAATACCTTAAGTATACTATAGTAGATTATACACACTCGTGCACCACTCTTATCAGTTAACTGTACATGTCAACTTACAAACAATACACTTTGTATCTTGATCGTGCACATATCAACGAAATTGGGAAGAACTGAGAATCCTTTAAAACCCCCCACATTATTGTATCGGTCTTCCATCAGTAGTGCTTTCAATCATAAAATCAGCATACGAGAAACTAGTTTCTCTATACTGTGTGTTTTTTTAATGTTCCATGTAATTTTTGTTTAATCCTATTTGTATTAGCATACTTATCTTGTAGGGCATGTTTTGTTTTATTTATTCATTTCGTTTCTTTTTAGCATTTAGCATTGGGTGTTCATAGGATTTCTGGTGTTCATTTGCTGTTATTTTGCCTTTGTCCGAGTACTGGTTTGCTTCTATTTATTATTAGCAGTTAGCGTTGTGTATTTATAGAAAGTTCTGGTGTGTATTTTACTGTTTTTTTTTCCTTTTGTTCAGTAAATTGTTCTTCTTACTAAATATTTTAACCTGTGTTGTGCAACTGTTTTACAAACAGGAGGATACTTACCTATGGGAAGACGATGATGACAGGTAATGTACCATACATTGGGATGCATTTCTCCTCAAAGTTTGTTTTTGCAGAATGGATTGCTGCATGAATTTCTTACTTTAACATGTCTTTAGCCTGTGTTTTGGTCGGCCTGCATGCACTTGCTTCTTGTAGATTCATACTTTAGTTATTGTAGTTCTAAATTTTGTTCCCTTTGATTAGTTCCTCATGTTCGCGTTATAGGCATGAGTAAATTGTAATCTAGCAACCACACTTCTTCAAAGTAGTTGTGTTTGTCGGACAATGACACAGTGCTTTTCTACATGGTCTGTATGCATTTTCTACCACCCAACACCCTTTCGACATTTTCCCAACACTTCGATGACATAGTTGAGGTGAAAATTTAGTATTTTCTTAAGAAACTGTAAAAACTTTAGGTGGATGTTATACGATAGGAAAGGGTTACATATGAATACTTATTCTTATATTTTTTGCATTTCTATGTTGTTATTTTTATTTTTTTCATGACACTTACAGAGCTAACGCTGTAGTACTTTATATGGTGTTAGGACTTCGGTTTTACATTCCTTCAATGAACCTTGTTTATACCATACTTAGGGCCTCCGTATTTAGACCTTGTATAAATACTCGGGGGACTCAAAGGTAATTATGTAATAAATGAAGAGGCAAATATGTAATAAGTGAGGAGCCCTTATTCTATAAAAGGGCCTCCTCACCCTCACAAAAAAAGGGCTCTCATCCTCACCCTAAACAGAGGCTCTCTCAAACTCTCTTTCTTTGGGGGGACTCCCCCTCACCCTTGTAATCCATACATACAGTTAGAGAGAAATACAATCAACATCAGTGTGGACGTAGCCCAAACATTGGGTTGAACCACGATACATCTTGTGTCTTTACTTTCTTGCAGATTCATGGTCAGATTTACGTTGTTTCAAGACCTCTCCGGTTTTGTGCATCAACAAACCTTTTGACTATCAACTTTAGATGAATTAATTACAAGCTAAGTATGCATAAAGATGAAACTAAACTGTAAAACAATAAAGTGTACACTTCCTGCATCCATGGTGTGTGGTATTTTAGTTTGTTAAAACTTGTCTTGTCATTGTTGATGTGCCAGTGTCGTATCCATGCCTCTTCATATTTTATAATTTTTTTTCTTTTCCTGTAATTATATTGTTTGTAATTTTGTATACTTTTGATAGATGGACACATTTTTCGTCTCTATAAATACTTTTTTTTTCCTTAATATGTATATTTTGTGCTTCCTATAAAAAAAATAATTCTTGTTTGACCTGAACTCTTGAGCCGTTTCAGACCCTTGACTGGACTGATAGGGTAAAAAGAGGAAACTCTTCATAGAATTATGAGTTTTGTGGAAGACTGAGTTTCGAGGATATCCCCGTTGAAAGGTCCTAATAATCAACTCTAAAATCAGTTGTTAGAATCAATAGGTCTTCAAATCGTTCATTTGGAAAAATAGAAACCCTTTTTATTGGATGATCAAGATATTTTCCAAAAATCTAAATTCTTGATCAACGGGGTAACAATATCACTTTTTTTGTTCAATAAGATACATGAATCAAATGAGTGGATCAGTGCAAGTAGTTTCCACTTCTCTGGTGGGACTGGTTATCTTGCTAAATTTCAGAACTATTCTAACACTTTTGGCCTATGTAGTTGAAAGGTATAGGTTTTAGACACAGTTTTATCTTGACTATGTCTTAGTATCAATGTAAAATCTTTTCGAAACATGCCACTCACTCGCGCACGCACATAGATATATAGAGATTTTTTGAAGAAGTGCATTCTATTTACGACTTTCTTTTAATGTTCACATATAACTGCCTCTTTGTGACAGATATTCCGTTGAGAAAATTCCGCTGTACGATTCTGCAGAGGATGAGCCTTCGTCTAGGCTTTTCAGGGCTGTGAACTCCTCAAGCTCTGAGTTTGATGTTGATGGGATGATGGAGAATGTCAATGTGGATTCTGAACATCAGTTGATGTCTACTGCTCTTGTTGTGCAATCACTTGATTCTGTTCCAATGGAAGGTGTAGTTATGGAGGTAAAAACAGAAGTGAACATGGAGAGGAAACTTTATTCAGAAGACAATCAACTGGCTATTTCAGAAAAGAATGCAATTATATCTCGTATCCGCAGTAATACTGCAGGTCGGAATTATCACATCGGATCAGGGTCCTTGTCAAACAAAAGATCAAAACAATATAATGGAAGGTTGAAACATGGTGCACAAAAGCAAGTCGACGCCAAATCTGTTGCTGCGCTTTTAGCGTCAAAGGAAGCACAAGAGGAAATTTTAAACTATGAGGTATTTATTTTTCAGTTTTTTATTGATCTCGTCGGTGGACCAAAACATCGTCATTAACTTTGCCCTTACATGGATATGTATGCTCCACGGAGTTGTGTTATTTATGTTTTGTTGTAGTATGGTTTTAATATTTGAACTGAAATGATTTTGTCACACTCTCAGCAGTGGTCTATTATCGAAACTGTTCATGTTAAAACTTTTGCTCGCAGCGGATGAAAAACGATGCTGCCACTCATCTTGAATCTCTATACAATGAGATACGACCTGCCATTGAAGAACATGAAAGGGACAGCCAAGACAGTGTAGCTACAAGTGTAGCTGAGAAGTGGATAGAAGCTTGCTGCTTGAAACTCAAGGCAGAATTCGACCTATATTCTTCCATTGTTAAAGGCATTGCCTGCACTCCTCGAAGGCCATTTGCCGAAGCTGAACCATCTGACGGCAACACCGAGAATGAGATCAAGTACTTGCAGAATTGATCTTTCTTCCAAACATGTTCATTGGTTTGAAACCGAAAAACCAATGAAACGTTACTCGTGTTTTTACCACCATGAGATTTTCGACTATGATTCTGGGACTATTTTTACATATTCGGCGTTGTTAGCTACCAATCTACGTATTATGAAGCTTCATTTTCTTCCGGAAATAATCGACTTGCGGTTGTTATTACCTATATATTTGATGATTCAGATTTGATATAGTTTGGGGTTTTGATTACTTGGCTGGAACCTCATTTCCATTTCCACATCATTTCCGTAGCACGGGACCATGTGATGTGAGTAAAGTCAAAACTAAACAAAGTTTCATTGGAGGAGAGAAATTAGGTATTGAATATTGCAACGTGAATTAAACCCATTATTTTTATTTATTTTTTATTTTTTCTTCACATATCGTGCAATATTGTAGTATGAGAATAAGAGACGAGAGATGGACCGAGAATATCCACTTGAGAATGTTGATAGCATCCTCTAATATATTTAGGGTGCATAATTAGTTGAAAGAACATGTGTTTGATGATGAGGTGTAAAGTAAGTATACACCATAATTATGGTGACAAGCAAAAATGATCCTATTTACTTTCGGGTGATTCTAGTCAAAACTAAACAAAATTTCATTGGAGGAGAGAAATTAGGTATTGAAAAATAAAGTGAAGGGAGATGTATATGTGAATATTGCAACGTCAATTTAAACGTTTATTTTTATTTTATTTTTTTGCATAATTGATTTTTAGTATGTAAATTAAAAAATAGCCAATTTTGATTATCGTGCAATATTAAAGAACGAGAAGCAGAGGCCGAAAACTAAATTTAGAATATGAGATGTCGGTAGCATCCTCCAATATATTTTGGTATGATTTTATTTTTGGTAACTTTAACGAAAAGCTGTCAGTACTGTTCATTTAACGAAAAACCACATTTTTACACTAAAAAATCAATTATGGTACTATTCATTTTACCATTTATTTTGTCCTTTATCGTTAAAACTCAAAATTTTAAAGCCTTTTTCGTTAGTTTTGTTTTATTTTTTCAGAAAAATATTCAATAATTTGGGTTTGGGAAGCGTAATTTTGCCAAGACTTACGGTCCTTGTAATACGTTCACCATAGACAATAATATTTGATGTTCAAAGTAAACGAATTAGGCGTTGACTCGTCGTCCTGGACTAGCTTGCTGATCATTTCATTACAACCTCCCCCATCCATTTCTCAGTCAAAACCAACCTTCCACGAACCCCCTTTTGCTTCCATTGCCGCCTCCTCCCTCCCTCCCTCCCTCCCCTTCTCCTCCACCACATCCACATCCACATCCACATCCACATCGATCGTATATCTCTCTCACTAAACCCACTCCCTCTCTCTCTCCCCCGATCAACTTCACTACGTCCATGGACAACTCTCTCCAAGCCGTACTCGCAGCTGCCGCCAGCTTCTTCTTCGTAATCGTCATCTTCACCGCCGTCTACCTCCTCTTCAAGGGCTCAAAGAACAAATCCACCCGCTCCCGCCAAGCCCGTCCCCTCCGCAACCCGGCCGCCCTCTCCGCCATCAGCTTCGACGAGAGCACCTCCTTCGATCCGTCCCTCAAGTTCTCCATGGAAGAAGTCGTCAAGGCCACCAAGAACTTCTCCGCCGATCTCGTTGTCGGTGACGGCGGCTTCGGCCTTGTCTACAAGGCCCAACTCTCCGACGGCCTCACCGTCGCGATCAAGAAGCTCGATCCCGACGCGTTCCAAGGGTTTCGGGAATTTCAAGCCGAGATGGAAACCCTAGGTAAGCTTCGCCACCCGAACATCGTCAAAATGTTGGGATACTGCGTCTCCGGCGCCGATAGGATATTAATTTATGAGTTTATTTCCAAGGGAAATCTCGACCGTTGGCTTAATGACTCGTCGTCAACGGACGGTGACGGTTATGATGACGCGCCGGGGTTACGATTACCGTTATCTTGGAAAACGAGGATTAAGATCGTTAGGGGGGTGGCGAATGGGTTGGCATATTTGCATGGGCTGGAAAAGCCCATTATTCATAGGGATATTAAGGCCAGCAATGTGTTGTTGGACAAGGATTTTGAGGCCCATATTGCTGATTTTGGGCTGGCCAGGAGGATGGACTCCTCCCAATCCCACGTGTCGACGCAGTTTGCCGGCACGATGGGGTACATGCCCCCGGAATACAAGGAAGGGTTCACGGGAGCAACCGTGAGGGCGGACGTGTTTAGCTTTGGAATCTTGATGTTGGAGGTTGCGACCGGGAGAAGGCCGAATTTGCCGACCGTGCACGACGGGAACGAAATGGGGTTGGTGGAATGGGCTAGGAAAATGGTGGAACAAAATCGGCAAATGGAAATGGTGGATTCAGGCATTTCGAAGGAGGATTTGGATGAAGGGGGAGTTCAGGAGTATTTTAGCATTGCCATTTTATGTGCTTGTGAGATTTCAAGACAAAGGCCGGCCATGAAAGAAGTCATTGAAATGTTGAATCAAATTTCGACATGATATTGTTAGTGCATTTTTTGTTGTTGGTGTGAGTAGTGTTTGTTTATTTTATGGAATGTTAAATAATGTTGCTTGGAGTGTTCATGAAAGGGGATGTAAATATTGATGTTAAGCCAATTAAACAATGAAATGCCACAAGTAGGAGAATTAGTATTTAAATTATTTTATTGTGTATTTTCTATCTCATTAATTCTATTTGGACTCACAAAATTGACATGATTATTCTCTAATACAGGTGAGTTTCACATATAACAGTAGGGCTCACTCTATGAAAGAGTAAGGGGGCATTTGTTGGCCCTCCTTAACTCTCATTGGACTGGACTGGACTAACAGTTAGTCCAGTCCGTGTTTGGTACCCGCTGGGACTCAACTTAATGAGACTAAAGGGGATTCGCTCCGACTATCTCCCTCGCTAGGAGGTCTTAGTGAGAGCGCTCGTGACCATGGGACTGCTAAGCCTTCGTCTGGTCTGTCCTCGTCTCCTCTCATCCACTCTCTGCTCTCTGTTTTCTTGAGCACCGATAACCACCATCACACCACTACTCCCAAATTCAGTGAGATACACTGCTAGCCCAACACCACTCTCTCGAGATCCAAGGCAAGCATCATTTGGCAATTTTTGGTAGAATTGCAGGGGGAAGAAGAAACAAAATGAAAAGGCTTGAATTTGTTGCAGGCCATTGATGGATAAGATTTTTTTTTTTGGGAAATTGGTGATCAGAGATTTTTTTTGGAGAAATCTGGAGATCATGCAGCTTATGGAACTCTCTAGATAGATTAAAACTCACACAACCAAGAGGGGAAATAATTCATACTTGAGATAGAGTTTGAGAGAGCTCAAGCTCTCTGCGTTAATGGCAGAGCACCCGATGGTGCATCGAAGATACGTACAACGCCATAGGTGGATTCCCCATGTCCCAAGGGTTCGAGGTTCAAATTTTTTAGGGTTGATTTGGTCAGCATCAAGAGAAATGGTGGGGTTCCTTCTAGGAGCTTAGAGAGAGAAAGGTTGCAGATTATTGTTGAGGAGAGAGAGAGAGAGAGAGAGAGAGAGAGAGAGAGAGAAGTGTAGAGAAAGAAAGAGAAGGAAAGAGGGGTCACGGGGTGAGGGACCGAAAGAGAGAAAAGGGAAGTGAGTTAAGGGTGAGTCAATGAAAATATATAAATAAAAAAGTAATAAAATAATTAAAAAGTAGTAAAAAAATATTTAGATTCTAAAAATAATTTAGTCTGTGACTTAGTCCGATACTGCAACAAACGCTTCACTATTCTTGTCCTACTTAGTCCATGCCAAGACAATCCAGCTTAGTCCTTTAAGCTAGTCCAGTCCGAGATAATCCGGTGCAACAAACGCACCCTAATAGTTTTGTGTGTCCAAATAGAATTGTTGTGGTTCTGCTTTGCTAATTTTAATTTTGCAAATTTATAAACTTATTGTCGCTTAGTATTATGGTTTAGTGGTATTCCTCTTCACTTGTAAGTGAGAGGTTTTAGGTTTGATTCTCACCAAAGACAAATTTGAACTATATTATTGCTAGCACATTGTAAAGCTTAGCTCACTCCTCACGTTCTTTGGTTAATAATATTGTTTGTTAAAAAATATATATATAACAGAACTACTTGAGGTACTTCGTAGAACAAGATCCCAACTAAAGGATGAGAGGATCCTTTTATGTCCACGTTAAATCGTTTTTACTAATTCTTCATTATTTACTCCCATTTATTTCAATAGCGTCAGTCTTCTTCATCTGGCCTCGTTGCATCAATATAGATCGAATAATCCTTTGATGGTGTACA